TGCCTCATTAGTATTATTTATCTTGGCAAAGAGGGGACGGTGAGTGGGAACACTTTAAGGATCAGACCTTCTGTCATGGTCTGAGAGGGCAGCCTGATTCATTGCTTTTGTCTGCTACGAGAGGGTCCTCCGGATGGTGGTGGGAGTTGTCGGTGGGGGTGGACAGAGACACAGACGGACACTGTTTGGTATTCTCCTTCAGTTCTCTCCGGCGGCTTGTACGTCTCAGCTCAGATATGTTCCCTCACTCTGCGCTGTTTGAAGGGTATGTAAAGTCAGTGGGCCACTGGTTTGGCTTGGCTCACAGTGGAGGGAGTGAACTAAGCATTTGTGTGGGTGGTATGATGGAGGAGCGAGACAGAGAGAGGGAGAGAGGAAAGGAAACAAGGGTTAGAAAGGAGGAGGATGGGAGTATTGGATGCCAAGGGTACGATACTGACTGCATGGAACTGGATGCATCTTGGAATGTTTTAATGAAGTATTAACTAAGCTCAATATCCGGAAAGTCAAGATAATGATGCTTTAGCCATGCAGTCCTGTATATTTTCACTTAGTTGCCTTTACCAAATTGAGTCATAAATATTGTGTTGACCTTAAAAAGCCCTGAACAACTAGATAATTACTGTACAAATGGAGGGAGGGAAGATTAGAAGAGGCTAAAGAGTGAACTCAGCAGAGGTGAGGAAAGACTATAACTTCCTTTACTATGAACTTGAGGCAACTCCTTTCCCCTCTGAGTTGTGCACCGCCCTTTCCTGTTTTTCCTTCTTTTCCATTCCTTCTTTCCATGGCCGGAGAAGAACAGCCATTCTAAGTGAGGGAAGCCCAGGCTTTCTCCCACAATGAGCTCTGTGACTCCGAGCCGCCAGCAGTTCTTACTGCCGCAGTGTAGTGTAGTCGCCGCCTCTCCAACCCTACTGGTCATTATTCATGGCAGTGCTCGCTGAAGTAAGTACTTCTAAGCACTTGCAAATGCAGCTTAATTTAAAGGAAAGTGAATCCACTCATTCATGGTTAATGTTTGTGTGGCTCAATTTAGCTGTGTTTTCTACTCCAGAGGTTTTCACATGGTGGCTCAGGAACCACAAGGAGGTTCCTTGAGTGGACACCAAGGGAGCCCAAGCACAATAAGCAGTTATACAAATGTATTACAATGTAGGGCTGGTTGATATATCCAATTAATGCAATTAATTCAGTTTTCTGCTTTAATCTGTAACTAGGTGACGTTTGGTATTTTTGCTTAACCAGGTGACTTAAACAGTAATGAAATATCCACATTTTTGATTGAAGTGACCAATCTTTTAATCAAATAATTGTTTTAGCACTAGTTAAATTCTGAATTAATAGCAACAAACTGGGGAAAGGGGGTTGTGGGAATCAGGGTGTTACATCATCCCTTCAACATGGGTCTCATAGCTCACATGTCCCCAAAGTGCAGTAACAGTGCTGCAGGTTACTATCCTGGTCAGTCCCTCAGGAATGCCTGAGAAGCTCGGCCTGTTTTAGTCACGCACCACAGTGTCTGCCATGCATCACCTTCTCCTGCCAACTGATAGAGCTTTGGAAAGCCCATAAAACACTGCCCATGCTATTAGTCACAGCTCAGGTGTGTGTGACAAGTGGACAGGCGTTGAAGGGGAAAATGTGCACAAATGCATGCTGGTTTCTGACTGAGCGAGGGTGCAAGAGCGTGGGAGCTACATAACCTACTTTACTATAAGAATAACCAGTGCTGAGCTCTCTTGTCAGGAAACTGTCTGGAATTTATCTTTATTCTAGGCTTTCCCATGAACATACACACTTGAGCATTGTGGTTGTTTTTCAGACATCCCTTAATAGTCCTCATCCTTCCCTTCAGTACAATTTTGATTCGTATCTGTGTCATGACCAAAGTGGTCAAGCTGTTTATGAAAGTGTACTTTTCAAACCTTATTTATAGTGATGTTACTCAGTGAATCAAGATCATGTTTTTTGAAATCATCTTGCCTATTCAAAATGGTGTTGTTAGGGAGTGCTGCAAATATTGTTTTTTCATACAAAGCACGTATGAAAAACTCAGAACATGATCAATATGACCATACTGTAAGTCAGAAATTCTATAAGTGTCCCAGCTTTATTTTCGAACAAGACTAATATACCTATAGCCACAGTAGCAGCTTTGTGAGGCTATACTTAAGGCACAGCCCATTGCTTTGAGCTAAATGTTAATGTCCGCATGCTAACATGGCAATTGAACGTGATAGGAAGCATGGTTTGTGAGCCACATTTAGACTTATGAGTGCATAGACACATTACAGCATATCAAGACACATCTAGCTTTACTGTGAGCTTCCCACTTAAAGGCTTATGCAGCTGTCTATAATAAGGTAATAAGGTGTTGGTTGTTAACCTAACCATTGATGTGAATCAGTCAGGTCAGACGAACACTGGTTTAGATAATGTGTGTAAGGTATATAATGGCCAAATACTTTTTTGTGAAGCTATGTGATTCTTGGCTAATGGTTTTTGTTTTTACATCTGCATTCTGCCTTCTTACTTCCAAACTGTTGTTATAGTGCTCAATGCCTCAAAACCACCTTGAGATGTTGACAGGTTATATTTATGACTTCTGAACCCTGTGGCTTTGAAGCTGCAGTATTACGATGATCTTTCTTACTGATGAATTTCATTGCAGTCTGAACCAAATATGCTAACTTTGACTTTAATCACACAGGAACCACGCAGTAATTCCATATCTGATAACACTATCTAAAACACAGGCAGCACAACATCCTGCTCCTAGCCTTTCCTTGGACCCTTCTCTGCTATATTTTACTGTAGTTTTTTACTGAGCATTCCTCTGCGCAGCTGCTAAGCTTCATGGGATTGAAGACAACACGGTTATTTTTCTAACTTGACACCTCGCTGGCGTTTTATAGACGTAGTTTGCATTTGAATGATTCCTTGGAGCTGAAGTAGAGACCGCAGCAAGAATGAAAAGAAAATATCTTTCTGTGTGGTTTTGTTATAAGAGGAATGTGAACCTAAATTCCTTCATTTTAAGTCTGATCTTCACTGAAATCAGTTGTATGGCTCTGTTATTTTAGGTTGTCACAAACATTTTGTGATGCAGTTATTCTCTTCAGAGTCTGTTAGCTTCAGTGTGGTGGTGATAGTGTAACAGTGGCAGAACCAGGTTAAATGTGGAATTTATCTCACGTGGAAACCCACACACACCACCTATGTACAGCAGTGGAGATTCAAGCCAGCTGATCTAATCTGGGGGGCTGTAGACAGGCCGTCTGCCCCTCTGTGTCTATATAAACGGACCCACACACACACACACAGAGGCACACAGGAATGCATCATTCAACACCGCACACACTGAACGTCAGAGCCTCCTTTACCACAGTGTAAGGGAATGCAGTCTTTTAATGTTCCCTCTATGAATAGCCAGCAACAGTCACTGGTTTAAAAAACTAAAAAGAAAAAAGGGTTTTGTCACTCTATCACTGTCTGTCTGGCTCTAATTTGAACCTCATGCTTTAGCTACTGTGGAGATTCCCATAGAAATGACTCGCATGAGTTTGTGATTTATGGCCGAACCAGATATCGGTTTTGCAGTACATTCCACATGTTAATTAGATTCGGCACATGCTGATCCCTCGCTGGCCACTGCACCTTAATACAACATCAGCCCATTGATTCATTGTCTCTCTGTAGGAGTCTACCCAACTGTTGCTTATTAGAACTGGCAATAAGTGGTGATTAGAATCCCAAAAGTGTCGGTACTAACTGGATCTTTTGAGGCAGCAGCAGTGATGTGGGATATATAATCATAGTCAGGGCTCACTGGAAATCCCTTGTCTTTAACTCTGTTCTTATGATTATTTATAATCAATAAAGGTATAACCTCAGACTCAAGGTCAGTCTTCTCTGGCATTTCTTAGTCAAGCCTATCAGTGTTGATCTAGGGATGTCTGTTGGTTGGTCTCTGCAACTATTGGATGGATTTCACTGAAATGATGTACCGACATTCTTGGTACCCAGAGGGTGGAACTTAATAACTTTTGTGATCTCCTAATTTTACTAGTTAGAATTTGAGGTTTTAGTGAAATGCTCAGCCAATTAGATTGGTTGGTTGCCCCCCCCTTGGTCCAGACTCAAATATCTTTGCAACCATTGGATGGATTGCCTTGACATTTGTTACAATCATCGTCCCAACATGAAAGGCTAAAAGGTCTAAAGGTTAAATTATGACAATACCGTCAGGCTCAGCTGTAATTTTTATTGCTAATTAGAAAATGTTAGCATGTTAACACTCTAAGATGGTAAACATTAGCATTATCATTGTGAGCATGTTGACCAGCTTTTGTTCACAGCACTGCTGGGCTTAAGTACAATTTCACACAGCGGCTAACGTGGCTGGAGACTGTTCACAAATCAGCCGTTATGTGCAGAGAAAGGTCCTTCAGTTCCCTTATACTTAGTAAGTCATGAGCTTTGCAATTACTAGGACAAGATGCATCAATATGGCCAAAGAGCCTGCACGCAGACAAGAGATCAATATATACGACAAGAGAGGGGTTGACTCCAGGGAACTGATGCTATTTACAGTAAAAGGGATTGTGGGGAAAAGGGAGGCTGCAATCCAAGCCAGGGGCAAATCAGTGTGGTTGTGTGTGTCTGTCTGTATGTGAATTTGTGTATTCATGTTTGTGTGTGAAAGCAGTCTGAATTGAATTAGCTGCCTGTTACCCTTTGACCGGCCGAGAATAGCCAAGCCCCTGCCACGGGATAATTTATTATCTCCAATTATAACCAAGCCATTTACAGATTCAATCTGTCATTTCTCTGAGACTCTCGCTCTTTCAACCCTTTAGTCCAGGAAATTATGAATTTGAGCATTCAGGCTGCCAGCTATTATTGTTACCAAAGAGATCACAAAGCATATTCCTTTTCAAAACAGCAGTAGCTCTTTGATGAGACCACACATTGAAAAGATGTTTTCTTTTTTCCAGATGGACCTGAAGCTGCTCTTGATATCCACATTGCTAGGACTCTTTTGTTGCAGTAATGCTCAGAAAGGTAAGATTTCTCTGTCACATCTCATTTTGTTAAACAAGATTGGCTTACATACTGAATTGCTGTAGCATCATTATCCTGTCCCATGATGTCACTTTGTTGATGTCAGCTTGCATAGCAAACGTACAATTCCTATTGATGACTACCTTCCTAGAGAGAGAGGCCAGCTACTTTAACCTAATGATGTCACTGACCAGAGATCCACCTTAGCATCGTGGGGCGTAGAGGATAATGGAAAAGACAGAATATTCTGTCTCCAATTACCACAGAGCCACGCAGCGTTCCAGATGAACTGATGTGTAAACACGGGGGGGCTTAACAGGCTGCTTACTTTGCAGGGACTGTGCTGCACCCCTGCTCCCTCTCACTCCTCCTCTCTTCTCTCTTTGTTTTCCATCCAGAGGGTAACGAGTGCATCAATGCCAACGCCAAATACTGCGGGGAGTGCATCCAGGCTGGAGCCAAATGTGGCTGGTGTACAGACCCAGTAAGTGAATCGAAGCTGTCAGCTATAATCATTGCTGAGAAATGCAGTTTGATGCCGTTATGATGCCATTAGTCATATATCAAAAGTAAGCACGTAGTTTGGGTTTGTTCCCAAATGTAGGGCTGCAGCTAATGATTGTTTCTGATAATTTTTGAAAGTAATTGATTCATTGTTTAACCTATTAAATATCAGAAAACATAATCATATCATTGATGTTGCAGGCAGAGTTTGTCCAGTTCAGGTCCAGCCTGGCCTGTCTGGACTTAAAGTGGTACTGCAGAAATTTTGTATTTTACTTTCATTAAGTTGCAGGATTTCAAGAGACATTATTAATAAAAAAAATAAATAGAAATTCTTGACTTTTTGTCCCTAACATAGTTAAAAACTCCACAAACACTGGATCCTTGATTTTCCATAATGCAACTCAATAGTGTCTTTTGTAAGACCCTCTATGCCTGCTAAATGCCCACGTTTCGCCCACAATGCCCCTGGTTTGTAATGTATTTTTAGGCTCCAAGAGAAGCCAAGAGAAAGTCCCCCAGATGAAAGCTCTAATACACTGATTTTCACTTTTAAAATTTGATTGTCCCTTTAATTCTTCCTGTGCTGCTGCTCTTAGAACTTTCTGAAACAGGGTGAGACCGTGTCGACCCGTTGTGACGAGCTGGATTCTCTGATAAAAAGGGGCTGTGATAAAGCGATGATTGAAAACCCACACGGGGAACAGAAGACCCTCAAGAACAAACCGGTGACACATCGCAAGAAGGGAGCAGAGAAGCTGGATCCAGAGGACATCACTCAGATCAAGCCCCAGAAACTCAGCCTCACCCTCCGATCTGGTGAGAATACATTTTAATGAAGCTTTTTCTGAAGCTGTTCTTACATTCTTTTGGATTGGATTTGACATTACCACTATGACAGAGTTTTAAATTATGGTAACTTAATGTAGGGGAGCCCCAGTCCTTTGACTTGACGTTCAAACGAGCGGAGGATTATCCCATCGACCTGTACTACTTGATGGACCTGTCCTACTCCATGAAGGACGATCTGGAGAATGTCAAGAACCTGGGAACCAGTCTGATGCTGGAGATGGAGAAGATCACCTCTGACTTCAAGATAGGTGAGGATTTTCATAATGGAGTGTGTTCAAAGTTTCTTTTCGGGGCAAAGAATTGAAGATTTTTCCATGTTGCATTTTTGTTATTGGTTCATGGCTTTCCTGCCAGCTGCACTTAGAATCTGAAACACATGTCCAATCTGAGGGGTAATTAATATAACTAAATAAAAACAACAACAACAAACCGTTTTGTGGTCATTTCCACTCACCTGGTGTTTTTGAAGTATATCAGAGACACAGATACTGTGTGAGCTAAAAGGGACAGGTGCTTGCTAGTGTTCTAAAGAGAACAGGAAGTTAGCTGTTGTAGTTTGTGCCCCCCACTAACACGGCCAATAGTTGTTGCAACAGCAGCATTGCTTTGTACTGTGTACTCCTTCTCGGACAGACATGACACACACATCAGTGTACACTGTACACTTTCTGGGGATATCACTTTACAGATTATCTCTGTCTATAAATCTGTTTGGAAATCATAAACAATAGCTCAGAAGTCCAGAATTTGCGAAGGATCACACGTTTTCTTCAGTACCGAAGTAATCCACAAGAATAACAATAATATCTATATAAAGATATTATATTTTATATATATATTTATATATATATATATATATATATATATATATGTACATGTAACATCCAATATGGGGGCGGTGTGGGTGTGCACAATTTTGTGTGGGGGGGCACAGTATTAGACTAACTTGTTTTTTCAGGTGTCCTGTTGAGGGTATTAAATGCCACCCAAGTTTGAATGACTTTTGTCTGATCTGCAAAAACAAATCGACACAGTTGAGAGGTCATTGACCTCTTCTGAATTCATTTGGTGTCATCTTACCCTTAGACTACAGCACCCAGTCTCAAACTTTAAATACATTTTAAGTCTTTAAAGCTTTTCCCACTTGTTGATGTTTTGCTTAAGTTGTGTAAAAAATAACTCTGATCCCAACTGTCATCCGAAGGTTTTGGGTCCTTCGTGGAAAAGACAGTCATGCCATACATCAGCACCACCCCGGCCAAGCTGCTGAACCCATGCACAGGCGACCAGAACTGCACCAGCCCGTTCAGCTACAAGAACGTCCTGAACCTGACCAGCGATGGCAAGAAGTTCAACACCCTGGTGGGCCAGCAGCACATCTCTGGAAACCTGGACTCTCCTGAGGGGGGCTTTGATGCCATTATGCAAGTTGCTGTGTGTGGGGTAAGCAAAAAAGGAAAATTCCTGTTCCCCTTCAGTGATCCAGTGGGAAATAATCATGCTCAGGTTCTCAATTCGAGGTAATTTTCCCACAATTACGGCACCTGCTCAGAGGGATTCAGCGCCAATAAATGTGTTTATGTGTGAAAGGGTATTTTATGAGTCCTTGGTGTTTACAAGGAGTATTTTTTGTGTCTCATTCTGCTCAAATTCTCCCTTAACTTTTATAGAGAAGATAAATCGCTGTTAGCAGACAATTTTTATGACTTTTTGTGTTTCTTTTTCTCAGGATCAGATTGGCTGGAGGAATGTGACTCGTCTGCTGGTGTTCTCCACTGACGCTGGCTTCCACTTTGCTGGTGATGGCAAACTGGGTGGCATCGTTCTGCCCAATGATGGAAAATGTCACTTGGAGAACAATATGTATACAATGAGCCACTACTATGTAAGTAGCGCGGTGTTGTTTGGCCTGTTTTGAAAGCTTTCTACACGGGGGAAAGACCCTGCGATGTTTAGCGGACATTTGGGCGTGCTACTTGTGTGGACTGTGTCATTGTAAATCTCATTTCTGTTTTAAAGGACTATCCCTCCATTGCTCACCTGGTTCAGAAATTGAGCGACAACAACATTCAGACCATCTTTGCAGTCACAGAGGAGTTCCAGCCTGTTTACCAAGTGAGTTCTCCTTCTTTTCTCTATCTGACATGTGTCGACTTCACTTTTGTCCCTTTCTTTTGGAGCGTACTCTTCCTCATTCCTTTTTTGTGCATGTTTTTGTTTGGAAGATGATGTGATGTATAAAAAATATCCATCTCGGTTCATACATGTGCTTCGAGTTATGGTAGCATCTGATTATTTCCTTCTGCCCTGCTGTTGCTTTTCAGGCCAGTTCAACCCATCTGAGTTTAATAAAAGCTCATTACGTAGCCTCACAGTAGCTTAAGTGCTTCAAAGCAATGATGATTTCATAATTTCAAGGTTAAAATCAATATCATATCTATCTTAATCTGTAAGCAAATGGTTACAGTCTATAAAAGCTCATAGAAAAGTATTCTTGAGAGTCTGTTGAGAGCAGAGATTCCAGGGATCACAAGACTAACAGAACTTTGATAAAGCTTTATTCTAAACTTTTATCTCTCTCCTCAGGAGCTGAAAAATCTGATACCGAAGTCTGCAGTGGGCACTCTGTCAGCCAACTCCAGCAACGTAATCAACCTTATTATAGACGCTTACAATGTAAGTACACCGTCAATCATTTACTCACATACACCACATTAAAGCCTTCACCATTCTGACTGAGTTAGGACAGTCAAAGCTTTTTCCAAACACATATTCTCATTTAATACTCAGCTAAGCCTTTGTGTATGGTTCACTGTCCAAACAAAGCTACCAGACAACATTCCAGTGCAGAAAATGGAAACAGTCATGTTGTTATCTCTTGGTTTTTGGCAGTCTCTCTCGTCTGAGGTTATTCTGGAGAACAGCAAGCTTCCAGAAGGGGTGACCATAGCCTACACCTCCCACTGTAAGAATGGAGTTGTTAGCGAGGGCGAAAATGGACGCAAGTGCTCCAACATATCCATCGGGGATGAGGTGAGGATGGAAATTGCTTTCTCTTTGTTCTATTCCACCAGTAGATGATTAAGCCTGTCAACACACACCACCATTCAGGTCATTAAAAGACTAAAAAATGTCAAATTGAATTGATGTGATTAAAAAGGATTACATGTATTTACTGTATGTGAATGGCATACTAATACTCAACAGAGATCATAGCAGAGCTGCAACAATTAGTCAGTTAATCAATTAATCAGCTCCATAATCAACAACTATTTTGATAATTGATTAATTGTTTTGAGTCATTTTCTGGTTTCTTCATGACAGTAAACAAAATATCTTTGGGTTGTGGACAAAACACATTTGAGGACGTCACCTTGGGCTTGCTTTTGCTGACATTTTATGAACCAAACAACTAATCTGTTAATCCAGAAAATGATCAACAGATTATTCTATAATGAATATAATCATCAGTTGCAGCCATAGATCATCGTATCTTGTCATTTAAAATGTATAAATCAATACAGATAAACCTTGTACTGGCTGTATAAAGTATCTGAACTTTAAGTTATACCGCAGGTAGCCTGTTTTCCCTGTGTTATTTCTTTTTTTGTTAGTTTTACTTAAACTCAATTCTATGTAACATTACAAGTTTTAAAAAGTCCACCCAAAGCCTCCGCAGTCTCCCACCACTATCAGGCCTACATTAGCAGATACTGAAAATCTATCCACGGACCATCAAACTGATCAGCAAATGGTTGATCGTAGACCCTGACAAAATATTGCATTACTAATTAAACCAGCACCTTAAACCAGATGTTTCTTTATTGCTTGTTCTCTCTGGGCAAAACTACAACCTAATAGCTAATGTACACTCTGAGGTGAAAGAAAGGTTTCCTGTTTGGGATATTCAATATTTTCCACCAAGCACTTTTAAATTTGGCACACTGTATTGCACAAAAACTACTGCTTGTGATGCTCTACCTTTAAGGTCTCAGTTGATCTCCATCTCCTCTATTCCTTCACTTCTAGGTCACGTTTAGCATCAGTGTGACATCGAAGGGTTGTCCGAAACAGGGTAAGACTGACACCATTAAGATAAAGCCCCTGGGCTTTACAGAGGAGGTGGAGATTACCCTCAACTTCATCTGTGAGTGTGAATGCCACAAGGACGGTATCAAGAATAGTCCACTCTGCCACAACGGGACCTACGAGTGTGGAGCCTGCAAGTAAGTTTGTCAACGTTTCCACAATCTGTATTACACCACACATCTTAGACCGCAAATACCAATACCTTCAAGGCTCATATTCAGTCTTACTTAGATTTCTGTTATTGTATTAATAAAAGCTTCAGAATCACAACTTCTCCTCTGTTCCAGGTGTAATGAAGGACGTGTGGGCAGACAGTGTGAATGCAGTAGCAATGATGTGGCCACGGAGGACATGGACAGGACCTGCCGTAAAGACAACGGCACAGACATCTGCAGCAACAACGGGGACTGTGTGTGCGGCACATGTGAGTGCAAGAAGAGAGATAACCCTGAGGAGAGGTACAGCGGCCAGTACTGCGAGTGTGACAACTTCAACTGTGACCGCTCTGGAAACAAACTGTGTGGAGGTGAGAGTGAAAGTGCATTCCAGATCTCAGCACTTAGACTTTACTCAGTGCCGCAGAAACTGTTTAATGAACCTTGGATGATGTTTCAAAAGAGAAAATGTCTCATTAAAGCTTCCCTACTTTTTTTGCTTAGGGCATGGACGGTGTGAGTGCAGAGTGTGTATCTGTGACCCCATGTGGACCGGAAGCGCCTGTGATTGTTCTCTGGACAACAGCACGTGTATGGCCAGCAACAAGCAGATCTGTAACGGCAGAGGAACGTGTGAATGTGGCACCTGCAAGTGCACTGACCCCAAATTCCAGGGTCCCACCTGTGAGACTTGCCCAACCTGTCCAGGAGTCTGTACAGAACACAAGTAAGTCTAAAATGAACAATGTACAAATGTTTGTAATTTGTCATATATTACATATTTTAATGAATGGTTTATTTTCTCATTTAAAAGAGGATTTTAGTAAGTATATTGTAATAAATATGCTATATGTACATTAGAGCAAGTTATGAGTTGCTGTAATAATTTCTCATCCTCATACCATGGAGTGATACCTTTGTTGAGCAGCTACACTATAAGAAATGCTGGTGGAAATCCAAAGGTCTAACTAAACTAAAACTCTAACTAAAATGAGGCTTTAACAGTCTGAATTAGCCCAATAAAGTGGGTATCTTCAGTAGTTATTGCCTTTTAAGCACAAAATTCCCTCTTTTTGTTTCCCTGGACGGTGTTGCCTCATATTAGCTTTGGTTGTGGATTATATCTCTCATCTCTTATAGTACAGCGTTGTCATTCTGCAGGTATAGCTTTACAGTCATTGTGTAGAGGAGGAATCATTACAGCAAGCCACAACTCTTTAAATGCATGTGGCATTTTTGTGTTGCATTGAGATAAATCCCCAACAATCCTTTTACACCTTAAGGAACATTATGCAATTTTAGGATGCTATGCATGATTCGATGTAGTATGGCTGGGGGAAGGCTAATAGGAGAGACCGTTTTAGACAGTAGGAAAAGTCAAAATGTTCAATACTGGTAAAGAACAGTAAGTCCAATTCAAAAAGGCAAATAGACAAAACCAGTATTTCACAAATGTATTTTAAAGGGTCAGTTCACACCAAATAATTAAAAAACAATGCTTTTTTCTCTCTCTTGACTCTAATGATACCAGTACGTAGCCAAATTGATAGTTTTAATCCATGTTTAGTTATATCGGTCTTGAGATTTCTGCCTTCACCCCAATACAAGGGTTGTCTATGGCGCTACAGTATTTCTTTAACTCTAACAGTAACTCTGGATAATCTACAGCTATAAGCCTCCCTGTGAAACTACCTCAGAAACAGAATACTCTCAGCGTGTTCTGTGGATTGTCTAGAGCAGAGGTTTTTAAACTCTAACTGCAGTAGTCTCGAATTTATTTGAAGGGAGGCCCACGTAAATCCTCTGTTATCATGGAGTGGAGAGAAACATTTTTGACTCAAGATACCTCAGAACCTGTTTAAATGAAGCTAAAACTTGCTGCATTATAGCACCCCAAAAACATCCAGTGAAAATGTGGGACACAGAACAAATCTCACTGCTCATTACTAACAACAACACCCTGTTGCTTCCAGGGAGTGCGTCCAGTGCCGGGCGTTTGGCACCGGCGAGAAGAAGGACACATGTGAGAGAGATTGCAGCTACTTCAACCTGATTAAAGTGAAGGACAGGGAAAAGCTGCCCCAGCCCAACGACGCATCCTACCCTGTGATGCACTGCAAGGAGAGGGACGCCAACGACTGCTGGTTCTACTACACCTATGCCGTCAACAACAACACGGAGAAGGAGGTCCATGTGGTGGACACGCTGGGTGAGCAGAAAGCTGGGCTACCATGAGCCAGGGTGTGGAAGGTTTCTGTTACACTGAAAGCTAATTACAGGGGCTGTGGCGGTTGAGCAGCAAAAATAGGACTTTTGTTTATTCACACACAGCCGTGTGATGGTATGTTTTTCCCATGGTCTTGTTATTTTTGCGCTGTTATTTCAAGCTGCCTAAACACACGCTGCACCCTGCTTCGTTTCAGACTGCCCCTCCGGTCCTGACATCATCCCCATCGTGGCAGGCGTGGTCGCAGGCATCGTCCTGATTGGTTTAGCCCTTCTGCTCATCTGGAAGCTCCTGATGATCATCCACGACAGAAGAGAGTTCGCCAAGTTTGAGAAAGAGAAGATGAACGCCAAATGGGATACGGTGAGTGTTTGGCACTTTGACCAGCTCTCTGAAAGATGAGCAGGATAAATATTTTCACATTTTTGGCAGAAGGTGGGTTGAGTAATTCAAATGTGGAAAGCAGGTGTTGTTTGGCCACTCAAAGCCAGTCGCTGTCAGGGAATTAACTTGTGAAGATCGTTTGTTGTTCTTAGCAGCAGATGAGATTTGCAGACTTGATATGATATCATTAATAGGTCTCTCTCACAGCCTCTTCAGTCTCACAGCTGCAGAAATAGATTCAATGTGTTGCTTTTGAGTGGCGCTCAAAATAAAGAGGAAAAATGTCAGCGACTGTGTGGACTTTTTTGGGAATGTTATGCACTCTGAGCATAGCTGGACTTTTTCTGGGGAGTGGCCACAGCTCCTCCCCTCCCTGCTTCCTCCCCTCTGTAGTCTCATCAGCCAACATCAATGTGACAGGAGACTGGATTTAAGCACAACTTCATGTGCAGTGATATGCCTCCACCTAGTGGTGGAACTGTGTCCTTCCCACAGTGTTCGCCTGTGGGCTCGATGCTGCAGATGTTCCTGATGAGTGCTGCACCCATACTGTGTGTTCTTTCTTAGGGTCTTTCTTACTACCATGGGCAGGGCAACCTATGGCTCCAGATCCCTGTAATTTTGAGAAATTAGAGGTTAAAGTTAGTAAAACAGTAACTAACCTGGGTTTCATGACAAGATAACAAGGCAAAGCAACCATGAGGAATTTCTTGTGCTCTCTTATGGCTGCAACCACACCATCCTTTAGTCAGTTTAATCAATACGGGACAGTTGGTCCTTGTTTAATTTACACTCAATGTTTTCTTATCTGCATATCCACAGTTCTTCACAAATGCAGGACAGGGAATGAATAATAAATAGTTTAAAATGTCTGCAACACCGTAGTAGATCCGTGAATGGAATACTAAGTGGGACCAAGGTCCCAAGGGAGGGCTCATTGGACCCCAAAGCCAGAGCCTCGTTTTGAAGTGACTGTTTAGCATTTCTTGTTCTAACATTCTCACAGGCTCAGTCAAATGTAGAGATATCCAGATCACTGTTTTTTGCTCCTGATCCTGATTTCCTGCATAATACAGCTGTAGAGTGCCTAGGCAATAGTAAAGCTGCATTAAATTAAATATAGTTACTTATAAATGTTAATACAACCCCACACATGGTTTTCTATTTTTTTTATGCTTTATTATATGTTTGTATCTGAGAGGGGGGTCAGTGTGGCTCAGTTGCAGCAGGAAGCTTAGGAAAGATTCATACAGCCTGTGTTCAAGATCTGAACATTTTTGGTATTGTCAGGGCATCATCATTATTATTATTATTTTTATATGTGGGGAATGTGGGGAATAACATGCAACTAATGTCCCAGGTTTATCAGTAAAATACCCCAGAAAAAGACACAAAATGACCCAAAGTTACGCAGAGAGTTGGTGCTCTAGTAGGTAGCCTCTTGTTGGGCCCTTTACCTTATCCAGCCCACTGTCTTAATGACGGTTTCCAATCAGTAAATGTCTAAAGCGCAGAAGATCTGCATTATTTCTTACCTTCTATTTCTCACATTGTCTTCCTGTAATCACTTTATTCATACTTTTCTCCCTTTTATACAGCTTTTTTCTTTATTGTTCTGTTTTTTCCTGCTGAACTCTACTCTGTCCTCATTCTCTACCTGTAGCAAGAGAACCCCATATACAAGAGTCCTATCAATCAGTTCCAGAACCCAAACTATGGACGTAAAGCTGCTGTCCTTTAAGTTTGTATTTCTTTTCCTTTCCACTTCATTTCCCTGCATGGGCTGTTCATGTGTGTCTTGAGTTCACTCAGCTGCTACTTTTTCTTTATTTCACCTTTCCTTTAAAACTATCAAGTAGACTTCGAGACAGGTGGATCATTAGGAAGAGTAATATTGCCTTCAGAGTGCATGAGTGTGCTGTGACGATCAATACAGCTGAAAAACCACAAAACCTGTTCAGTGTTTGAAGATATAAAGTGTCTTAAGGGAACAAATACCAAAACCTTGGTAAGTATGTTACGTGTTAGGGACAGTTCACCCGCAAAACTACATATTTTCCCTTTTATCTGTAGTCTATGTAAAATATGGATTTTTGAGTTTGGGGTGAACTGTCCCATTAAATATGATGCCTAATTTGTACCTCCTGATATTTGGTATGTTTTTACAAAAGCATGCCTGTGTAAGTGTGATCTAAATAAATGACAGTAAATGATGACGGTAACCCAGTTTTTGTCTGTGTGATTTGATGAATGTGTCAGAAAAGCTAACAAACACTTAGCACCTTGCTTGACTGAATAATAATAACATGATTGTGACTTTATTTTTTTATTGCTTTCCAGGGTGAAAATCCCATCTACAAAAGTGCTGTCACGACAGTGGTCAACCCCAAATATGAAGGAAAATGATGGCGTTGTAGTTTTTAGTGAACTCTGCTATCAAGTATCTGACAACTGCAGTATTTGCCGTGAGGTTTTGGGGTCTGAGGGGAACTTGTGGTGGAATTTATCATTTCTTCTCGTCGCTTTACCATTATAATGTACCGTACGGCCACTGCATCTGTATTTTTACTAACACTTACGATTTATATGCATTTGTTGTATTTTAGATGTACAGTATACAGTGTGTGTATATACTTTTAAGTTGCATATTTGCAGAAATTATGACATGAAGGTGCTTTTTTTTCCTGCCACAGGACTGGTATGGGAGGAGGATCTATCTTTTTTTAAACAACACAATATGGACACTATGGATACACAATATATGTACAAGAGTTCCTCAGCTTCTGTGTCTTTCTCAGACACTTCTCTGTCTTTCACGCCCTCTTCTCGTCTCTCTGTGCACTGACTTCCTGTGTGTCTCTGTGTGTTCCAGACAGGACCTGAGTTTAATATGTAAATTGTCAGCCATAGCAGCACATTATGTCAATGTGTGTGTGTGTGTATATATATATATATATAGAAAACAACTGCAATTGGCCGTATTGAAGAAAATTTAGCATTCAACTTGGATTGGACAGATATGTTGAATGACAGTAGTGAATGCAGTGGTTGTAAATGTAGTTTTGAACTGCAGTTTAAAAAACATCCAGTGTTTGAGATTTTATTGCACTCTTATTGAGTACTAAAGGAGCAAATACACAAGATGAAGATTAATATCAACTATCATTATTTGAATTGTTGATGTACTATCACAAAGGGACTGTATACCACTTGTTAAAATGATGAAGTTGTGGCAGTGTTGAACAATCAAAGGATTTGTATAGTTATGATACAAGTTGCAATTAACTAATATTATATTGTTGTATTTGCTAACTGCAGTAACTTTATTTCTCGTTCTCAGGTCCTTTCCTGTGTTTGTCAAGTACGCCAAAAAATATGTTTTCGGTTGTTCAGTGAACACATTTGTGCAAGTCAGTTTTGTTAGTAGGATTTTTTTTTAGATTGGAAGACTGAAACAAGAGCGTTTGTTCCGACGACTCTGAAATGCTTTCACACCCAAATGCCTCTGAAGCACCACACACAAGCCTTTACAGTATTGATTTCAAAGTGCCTTTTATTTCAACACCATGTTCTCTCCCAATGCTGTTTATGAGTTATTTATTAAATAAAGTACAAAAACTGCCTGTGTCTTTCTGTGTGGAGAATTATGACTATAAGATAATTCCTCGTCTTCTGAAAATCACTTTGAGCATTTTTAAAAATGATTGTCTCCATTGTTTTAAATAGTGGGTCATGTCTGCTGAAACTGAGGAGCAGTTAGATCAAACTAACAGTGAGTACAAACATAATTCAAGTTAGGTACAGTATAAAGCTGTTCTCAGTACACTGCTTAGTTGTACTTAGACATATAGAGCATAACATCCATTAGATATCCTGCCATGGTTTTAGCTTTTGAGTGGTCACAAGTGTCTCTGCTACAAAGTTAATTGATCCTGTAGGGCTCATTCAGATGAAGACAGGATATTGAGTTGTATTGAATCGAAGACAAATCCTGTTCAAATAAATGTTTAGTCAGCCCAGTGCCAGATGTGGAGACAATTTGAACACAGTACAAGCCATTATATTAAAGTTGTCTTTATAAAGAAAGAAAAAAAGATAAAATGTCTTACCTGCTTGTCAAGCACTGGTCTTCTTCAAAGTATGACATGTATTATGTTTCTGATATCATAATCAAGATAATACTGATTACATAGTTGTCATATGTCTGTTGTAGCAATCATTTAAATACATTCATTTTATGCCGAGTAATAATGTAACAGAAACAGCAAAACAAATATTGGAATGTGTGAAAACAATAATATAATGCGTTTTAAAAGAACCAATTAGAATCAATACACATATATTATGTACTGATGTTATGTAGCACTGTATCAGCTGTGTGATCAGGCGGAAGTGCCACAAAGTCACACCGGATATGGTTGGAGTGAGGCTTCTTGCTGTCAAACTATCTCTGTCGCTGTACACAGGACCGTAAGTTACTCAGGAACGTCGTTTGTACACAGCCTGTAGCTATTAGTCGACAGTAACACGCCTCACTGTGAAGGGAAAATGGAAGAAGACATACTAACGACGCTGAAAATATTGATAATAGGAGAAAGTGGCGTTGGGAAGTCCAGGTAAGATGAAATTATCTCCTAAGAAATTGATGTCGTGGCTCCCTGCTAACGTTAGCTAGCTGGCGTTAGCTTAGCAGCCAGCCCAATAATGTGAGGTTCAAAGATGATGCAGCGTTTTAACATGACAGACTGCTGAGCTGTGGCCGTCATTCCTCTTCATAAAACAGCTTACAACGTGAGGCTATTATAGGCACATATAAGCTGTGTGCTGTGCTAGCTGTCAGCTAACATTAGCTGATGTTCACGTTAGTTAGCTGTTTGGAGATGTTGCAGTCGGGAGCACTTTTCTGCGCTGACTGCGAGGCTTTACTGCTGGGACAGATATCTGAGCTGTAACTGGATGGCAGCAGACTTTTAGAGAAGATGAGTAGTAACTTTCCCTCTGTTCGTCGTACATCACTGGGATGGCTGTGCAAGAAGTAGTCCCTGTTTATCGGTGTGTTTACTGTGTTTGTAGCGCTAGCTTCTCCAACATCACACATCATTATGAACACAACAGGAAATATCTATATGGGGTATCTGAAGTGAACATGTCATGCTTGAGTAAGCTCGGCCTCTCTTGAAGGGCTGTTACAGCTTTTAACCACACAGTTGATTTATCCATTATGTGGTAATCAGAGGTCCTTGTTAGCAATCCACAAATCAGCCTAATATTCAAACAGAGTATAATGTTTTTACCAACATTAGTCTGGCAGTTTTTATTATGTAGTATGCCAACAGAGAGCTTGATCTGAGGTCCAGACTGCATGGAAGAATCCTGATAGCCAGCCTGAGCCATCAACCATCACATTGCAAACTATGGTATCGTGTATAGCGCAGCTTCCATAGTCATAGCACAATATAATGAGCTGCTCAAAGCTTTGTTGTAAGCCCTCTGACAAGTGAAGTGTCTGGCCAAAAAGAAAATCATCTTTCAGCGTAGACTGAAGCCCCGGGTTCTCAAAAGATCTCAGTGTAAGGTGAACCACCGAAGGGTATAGGGCTTTGTGTGTAGTAATCTCAAGATCTTTAGCATGATCAACAAGGGATCCAATGTAAAAGGGATTTGGGAACAGCCTTAATTTTGGATCAGCTAAGTGTTACCCCAGAAGGTTGTAAATAATCTGAAGTGTTTGTATTAATTCATGCTCTTTACATCATTTCCACAAGAAATTGTGACTCTATTGTCAGTTCTTTCTTCCTATATTCACTTTTTTGGCATTAAGTTTATTTATAACACACAACTGTAATTTTAATCTTGGGTCCCTGCCCATTTTAGTTTTACGGTAGAAATGTTTCGAAATTTTCTTTTTCACCTTTCACCCATAGTGCATAGTTTGCTTGCTGTGATGGCAGCTCTGTATTGACTCATCACAGTGGAGGGGGTTAATGCCAGCATAATATAGACCTAGGTTTGCTCATATTTCCAGAAAACAGCAGAGTTTTGTGGCCAGCTGCACGCTGCCTGCTAGTGCATCACTGCGTTGTTTCCAGAAAGCAATTTTGTATTGTTATTAAATAGTCTTTTGCTTAATACTATAAACAAAGTCAGACTATGATTAGTTTCAAATGTCATAATTTAAATTAGTTGTGCTATTGTCAAGTAGTTACACTGACTGGACTCATTTTTGAGTAGTGTACAGATATATAATTTGTTTCCCTGCAATCTGTAGAAGCCCTTAAATCATCAGGGAGATGTCTGCTTGGCTAGGAATACACACGTTTCATTTTACCTGAACAAATGACCTACGCACAACACATTTCTAACTTGGCGGTCTCCAAGCATAGCTCATCAGCTGTATGGACCTCAAACAATAAACACTCACTGCTCCAGCATCCCTCCTGATGGCCCATGAGGAAAAATAAGAGAATTATACATGGGTCAAGGGAAAGGAGTGAGCTTATTCCCCATCATCATCGCTGTGATTAAAGCCTATGCACTTGATTAGTCATAGTTAAGAAATGAACCCTGTCCTCCTGACTGCAATCTAGTGGTGATATCATCTGGAGCTTCTACGTGTAATGCAAGTGAAGGACAAAGTGATCAATAGAAAGAGACAGAGATACAGAACTCGATAAGTCTGGGGCCGCAGGACAAGTTTTGTGAACAGAGCAAATGGAAACCTGATCCCAGACCAAAAGCCTACTCAACCTGTGTGTAATAGAATTACTGATTAAAAAAAGCCATTCTGCTGTATTTGTTAGTGATTCATAATGAGTCTTAATCTAATTATTTCCTTCTTCCTGTCAACAGCCTCCTCTTGAGATTCACAGATGACACATTTGACCCAGAACAAGCAGCGACAATAGGTGAGCAACACATCTGAGTTCAGTTAATGAACGAGTCGAATAAAATAAAGGTTCTGTGCATCAACTTCAGGATCATCAGTGGAGTGAAAATGATTCATTTTGTGCCATTAATTGGCAGAGAAAGCTCATCAAGACTGTCAGAATATTTGTGCTGTCCAGTACATTGTCTGGAGTTTGAGTCTTTAAGAACTGTAAACAACAATGGCTACCACATTCAGTAAAGTTGACATAAACTGTTCTTCATTCTGCTTCCTAGTCTGTAGACCCTGCTGAGGCCGCTGGCAGATACATTGTACTGAGCAATAATCCTCAAAACCACAGAACCCTTGCTATCTGCCAGATCTGGCTCCATCACCACACTCGCATCCTGTATCAATTGCACACCCAGTGTTTATTGCAAATAATTTAGAACAGAAATTAAAAGTCAAAGATGTTTCTATACTACAATCAGAGTCAAGCTGAGGTCGCCATACAAACGTTTGGCCTGTAAGGAGCTCTGCTATACAAAGAAGGTATGAGCACTTGGCGAGCTGGAAGTAAAAGTCACCACGGTACCCACACCCTCACAACCACAAAGCTATTTGATTTATTTCAAACTTAATGAGGAATTTGAAAGAAAATCCTGCAGCAGACCAGACTATCCATCTTATCTGGTGAGATGGTGAACTTAGTGGTACATTATTTGTACAAGCTGGTTTTTCCAAATTCTGGTGGATCTGCAAATGATATCAACCTTGTACAGTATAAATCATTTGATGCACCAGGGACACACCTGCTATATATTCAGGTGAGCTTGAGGCTGTACCCACCTTATAGGGTTTATGTTCATTAAAACTTTCAACAACTCAAGATTTGTAACTTTATTGATGAGTTTGAATGTAGGTTATTTTATTTTAGTTATTATTCTAACTAATGTTAATTTGTGAAGCGCTTGTAGCTCACAATGCTGTCTTTGTTAAAACAACCCGGAGCCCAGATTCCAGGAGTGTTTTTCAAGGTCAAGGCTTGGATCACTGCTGCTTTACTTGGCCAGCTGGGAAACTTTGCCAAACAGATGTCTTTATTGGAGTTAAGCTCCCTCATTGACTCTAGTTCCCTCACATTCAGACAGACTTTTTAATCGGTATCACTTGATATGAATTTATGTTCATCCTTACCACCTAAAGCAGTTCCGCCTGTGACACTAGCTTTCTCAGTACGTTGTCACATTAGTACCCAGTGTATTGGCCCAACAGTGTTACATAGGTAATAATTAATCTTTGTACAGGGCTCTCCACACCAAGAACAATAGCTGTAACAATAACGATGTGGGCCCAAGCACGTGCTGCGTTCTCCATCAGCTTCGTTGGAAAATGTACAGTTGAAACCAGAAGTTTACATACACTGTATAAAAAGACACATACGCTTTTTTTTCTCACTGTCTGACATGAAATCAGACAATCACTTTTCCTGTTTTAGGTCCGTTAGGATTACCAAAATTATTTCTATTTGCTAAATGCCAGAAAAATTATTACTTTCTTCAACGTCAGAAGTTTACATACACTAAGATTACTATGCCTTTAAACAATTTGGGAGAGCTCAGATGATGATGTCATGTCTTTGGAAGCTTCTGATAGGGTTATTGACAACATTTGAGTTAATTAGAGACACACCTGTGGATGTATTTTAAGGCACACCTGAAACACACTGCTTCTTTGTGTAACATCATGGGAAAGTCAAAAGAAATCAGCCAAGATATCAGGAAGAGAATTGTGGACTTGCACAAGTCTGGTTCATCCTTGGGTGCAATTTCCAGATGCCTGAAGGTGCCACGTTCATCTGTTCAAACAATTATACGCAAGTATAAACACCTTGGGAATGTCCAGCCATCATACCACTCACAACCACGGGTTCTGTGTCCCAGAGTTGAATGTGCTTTGGTCCGAAATGTGCATATCAACCAAAGAACAAAAGCAAAAGACCTTGTGAAGATGCTGGCTGAAGCTGGTAAGAGTGTGTCATTATCCACAGTGAAACGAGTACTGTGCCGACATGGGCTGAAAGGCCACTCTGCCAGGAAGAAGCCATTACTCCAAAAGAAACATAAAAAAGCCAGATTACAGTTTGCAAATGCACACAGGGACAAAGACCTTAATTTTTGGAGACATGTCCTGTGGTCTGACGAAACTAAAATCGAACTGTTTGGCCATAATGACCATGGTTACGTTTGGAGGAAAAAGGGGGAAGCTTGCAAGCCTGAGAACACCATCCCCACTGTGAAATACAGGAGTGGCAGCATCATGTTGTGGGGTTGTTTTGCTGCAGGATGGACTGGTGCACTTCACAAAATAGATGGCATCATGAGGAAAGAACATTATGTGGAAATACTGAAGCAACATCTCAAGACATCAGCCAGGAAGTTAAAGCTTGGGCGCAGATGGGTCTTCCAATGGACAATGACCCGAAGCATACTGCCAAACTGGTTACAAAGTGGATTAAGGACAACAAAGTCAATGTTTTGGAGTGGCCATCACAAAGCCCTGATCTCAATCCTATTGAACATTTATGGGCAGAGCTGAAATGGCATGTGCAAGCAAGGCGGCCTACAAACTTGGCTCAGTTACACCAGTTCTGTCAGGAGGAATGGGCCAAAATTCCTGCCAACTATTGTGAGAAGCTTGTGGAAGGATATCCAAAACGTTTGACCCAAGTCATACAGTTTAAAGGCAATGGTACCAAATACTAATGAAATGTATGTAAACTTCTGACTTTCAAGAAAGTAATAAAAACATTGTCTAAAAAATTCTCTCTCTCATTATTCTGGCATTTAGCAAATAGAAATAATTTTGGTAATCCTAATTGACCTAAAACAGGAAAAGTTTAATCTGATTTAATGTCAGACAGAGAGAAAAGACATTGTGTCTTTTTATACAGTGTATGTAAACTTCTGGTTTCAACTGTATATTGTGACCTGTTAATGCTGTACCTCGCGCAGTGAAACAAAAAGCCAAATATTATATTGTTTAAGTGTTTAATAAGTTGTATACCACAATATCATCCTTCAAATTGCTCTGAAAGTGATCCCAACTGTTGTTCTCATTATAGCTGTGGTGTGGCCATCCACTCAGCTTCAAACTATACATTTATAGTGATGGTTACAGTTATCATTCCTGGTGTGGACGGCCCATTACAGTCATCTTTTGGTCTTAATGATGTTACAGATGATCAACAGGTGAGCAGGCCTGCTGTCATTGATAAACATATCACCTAGTGACTTCTGGGTACAGTTATTACAAAAGGGTGAAAAAGAGACAAAACAGAGTAGCGATTCACCGTGTCTCCTCCTGAAAGCCACTCTAGCTGAGTAAATGTAAGGTGCATTGTGATGCTCTTTGTGTATTTACATTATAGGACGAAGGGTCCACCATGAACGGGCTGGCTTGCAGAGATCAACCCAACCTTGACTTCTAGCAGTAGTGGCATCTTGTGGTGTTGTGATATAACAAACAGATGCTTTCTGTTCTCTGGGAAAAGGCCTGTCTGATTTTGTACTGAATAGAAGCAGGAGAGACTGGTCCAGGTTCAGGGAAATGTTAAGTGTAAACTCCTCTCCACATGCCTCTGGCAGCAGTATCTGAGCAACCCTGCTGGACTAGAGGAAAGGCTAGTTGTTGTGATTGACTGTGTGAACAGACAGTATATTTGTGTGTAAGTGTGTGTGGTACACATACTATATGTCATATATCCTCAGCCTGTCTTCATGTCCCTTTTCTCCTCCTCTGTTTTGGCTCTGAAACCTCCCTCAGTCCCAGATGTAAAAACAAGCCCCATCGCAAGTGTACATTTCCCTGGTAAATCTGTCAGTGGATGCTAAAACTGAGGCAGATATGTCATCCAGACCCTGCACGCCTTGCACACCGAGACACTGCACAAAGGCAATAGAGGAGATTTACTTGTTGAGGGGAAGGGGGACAACATTGTTATTTTCATGTAAATGTCTGTTCCTTTGGGACCTGGCAGGGCTTTTAGGGGTGAATCATGGCTCTCTGAGCCATTTTGCAGGTGGTGGATTTTTATTATTCATTTTTTTAACACAGACTTGTATTGGTTTCAGTTCAGGACATTAAACCACACCGTCCCTTTGTGGTGGATAAGAGTGCACTGTCACACCATAATTTAAATACAGGACATGGGATGGGCCAAGTGCCAGTCTGAAACACTGGGGTTAGCAGAAGTTCAGAGACATTGTGTAGTGTGTGTGTTTTTACAATTCATCATTGATAATTATAGTCTGTCACCATGATATGATATTCTTGGCAGTAATTGGTCAAACCTGTAAGAGTCGCCATATTGAGACTGAAACATTATGAGGTAATCATGATGGACTGGCTTTTCATTGTCTAGGTGTTGACTTCAAGGTGAAGACCATTACTGTGGACGGTAACAAGGCAAAGCTGGCAATATGGGTAAGTGACTGTGCACTGTATTCAGTAAAACTCATTAAAGGTGGCTCCGTCAGTCAGAGCAGAGGGATCAAACTCCTCCACGACTCCAATCTGTCAGTTCTCTCAAGTGGCCAGAAGATGGCGCTTTTGCCACACCATTTCTGCCTAATGTCCCATATGGGACACAGAGGAGTCAGTCTTGTTGTTTACGTCCATCTGCCCTGGTTTTCCTTCTGTTTGAGCCACCAGTTTTTCCCTGCGAGTGTATTCAGCAGTGCTGAGCTGGTCGTGTTTTGCAGGACACTGCAGGACAGGAGCGCTTCCGAACCCTGACGCCCAGTTACTACCGCGGTGCCCAGGGAGTCATCCTGGGTAAGCCAAGCTGTTGACGCAATCATTGCTCGTGTGTGTGTGTGTGTGTGTGTGTGTGTGTGTGTGTGTGTGTGTGTCTGTGTGTGTGTGTGTGTGCCCTCTTCACTTCAGAGTCAGGCCCCTGGTTGTAAAGAAAGTGATGGCTTTTCATCCTGTGACCCACACACACGCACACACTCTTTGCTCTCTCTCTGGAAGTTAGTTTATACTCTTAAATCAGACTCCTCATATGGACATGCATGTACAGTATGTATATGAACACACACACACACACACACACACACACAGGAACTAAGTTAAACCTCTTAAACAGACTTCCTCTGCAGCTTATGGTTTTTGACCACTCTAATGATGAATAGAAACACACGGCGCCTTGCTATAGCACTGGGATTATTGGAGCTCCCCATTTGATACAGATCAGAATCCCTTTGGCCTTATCAACCATGTGTTTTTAGTTAATAGCATAGTACTTTATTTACTTATTTTATCTCAGTTTGTTGTATTATTTTCCCTTTTTTTTCAAAACTCAGGATTATTGGGAGTAAATGTTTATGAGGCCTGTGCTTTTCATGAAAAAGTCTTGAAAACGCTGCTTTTAAGTGAATGGCATAGTCTTTCTATTAGGTCCTGTGTGGTACCATGATATAACCCTGATATAAGTATTATAATTAAATAAATTACAAAATTGTCCTGGTGGAAAAACACCAGTTCCCCAGTCTTACTTCAGACCCAAAGTATGGTCAGCTTGTGTGTCTGTATTTGCCTTTAATCTGAGGGTCTCTTGTTCATTTGGTTCGGCACAGTGTATGATGTCACACGGAGGGAAACCTTCGCCAAGCTCGACAACTGGCTCAACGAGCTGGAGACGTACTGTACAAGGAACGACCTCGTGAAAATGCTCGTGGGAAATAAAATCGATAGGGTGAGTGTGCTCTGCGGTCATGTATAAGATGTTTGTGTTCCTACTCAGGTTAACAAGGTTGTCTGATAAGAGAGGAGCAGGCACATTATGAGTTTGCAGTCCAGCTCGCCACACGCAGTACTTTTTGTCTTGGTCTGAGTTGTTATGACCGGAGAAATTCCTGATTTTGAAGGGACTTAATATTTGCCTTTTTTCTGACAAATTTTGAAATTGTTTTTCTGTTTGAAGAGATGGAAAACAAACCGTTGCTTTGTATAAAAATGTATTCCACAGAACAGGAAAATAATTTACCAAAAATAAATATCTAAAAAAAAAGTCAGCTTTCAGCCAGCTGACAAATTACTGAACTAAATGACGGTGACAGACCCACTTTCATATTTTTGGCAGCTGATCATTTACCAGGATACCAGAGTCAGTCAGTGGGGATAAAAATGCCCACTAAGTAGAGCATTATGAATTTATTGTGTCCTGTTCTTTGTCTGTGAAAATCACTTTTCCTCTCTGCCCCGTGACGACCACAGTAGCTGACAGCTCCGCCCGGCAGACCTCAAATAAGCCATTACCTCTCTTTTGTTTTAGGAAAACCACGAGCTAGACAGGGCAGAAGGGCTGAAGTTTGCAAGAAAACATTCCATGCTTTTTATAGGTAAGTCAGGAGGATTCCCTACTCTACAAAGACCCGCTGGGCAGACTATTACACAGGAGGAAACGGCTTTTGAAATAACTATCATACTTGCTGAGGAATGCTTGCATAGTTCTATATATAAAACTGGCTTCATATATCATATTCCAAGCGTTCTCGTTTTTTCCCTGCGCCTATTTTTCAGATTTGTCATCAAAGGACTGCTTAAAACTGACTTGCACTTCAAGTTAAACACCTAGGCTTTATCTTCATCAAGTACTGAAATTTTAAAAATGTTTGTTGAAACGGAAAGATATCTTTCTGATCTTTTCAAGGCGTAATCATTCATAACATATTAATTCAGATTAGTTTTTTCTAAATAAGATTAATCTCTTTATCCTATGGATATTACTATTCTAATGTTTCTGGATATCATCATGTTGTGGAGCGGGTGTTGACTATATCCCTTAATAACCTCCTAAAGTTGACTATTAGTGTCCTGGGCTGACAGTTATTGTGGAGACATTTTCCACCACTCGCCAGTCCAGTCTAGGAGCACAGCAGATGACATCAAGATGCAGACTTTAACAGTCGTATCTGTATCTCATCTTCTTTTATTTCCACCCTCTTTCCCTTTTAATCCACCTCCCATCTTCCTTTTTCTTTCTGTATCTGCCCCTTCCCTTCTCTTTTTTTTTTCTTCTTCTTCTTTTTATTTTTCCCTCCACGCTCGTTTCTCCCAGAGGCGAGTGCTAAGACCAGGGACGGCGTCCAGTGTGCATTTGAGGAGCTGGTGGAGAAGATCATCCAGACTCCCGGTTTATGGCAGAGTGAGAGCCACGGCCGAGGGGTCCAGCTCACCGACGAAGACGCGGGAGGCGGATCCTGCAGCGGCTACTGCTCCCTGGTCTAGACAACGCACACATACGCAAACACATTCTCTCTCACACACACACACACACACACACACACACACACACACACACACACAGGTGCAACCATTAATACCACACAGTATCACACACTCAAAGACAAGCATAGACACAAACAACCCCCCCTCCACCCTCCCACTGTGTGCTGTCCTGAGCTGAGCTCCCTCCTCAGACATGAAGGCAGTGGAGGTCTGACTGCCTCCTCTCCGCTCAGCTGTAAGGGTTGACCGTCCACGCGCTCTACCTGTGTTCACACACACTACTTTTTGCACACTTTCTAGTAATAACGCTGCGCTAAAATGCAAAATGCAGTTCAGCCTTCCTCTTAATGGAATTTGAGTGAGTTTTTTTTTCTCTCCTCTGTTTTATTTTGGGCCCTTGGTCAAAATATTAACCATTCTCAGTTCATACGTGGGATTTTAGCGGTGCGGGGAAATGAGTCCAGAAGTATAAACCAAAGTTAGTCAGGCATATGGCTAAAGCTCTGAAGTATGATAATGAGAATGGAAGAAAGCAGTTTGACCAAGGGTCTCTCTCTCGTCTCCAGCATGCTTATTGCCCTCGGAGCACCTTGCCTTAGCGAGCACATGTGTATCAATGCAGGGCCGACTTTCCTCCAGTGTTTGTTTTTCCTCCGCTCCGTCCCGCGCTTGATCCCGATCTTGCCCCTCAGACTCTATGAACATTATGCTGCTTATGGAGAAGCTTATCAAGTCAAGCCATCTTGTATTCCATCACAGCACTCTCGGTCGAAGGTTTGGATCATGTGTCTCTGTTGTCCACACAACTGCCTCATTTTTTCTCCAGAATATAATAGAGTTACCAAGCGTCTGGAATGACGTTTACTACTTTTATTGACTTGGACTTCAAACCTTTGGTGTGTTTTTGAAGAGTGCATAAATCAAAGAGATTGGCACCAGCAAGCTTTCCACTGGGTGCCCGAAGAAGAGGGAACCTCTTAAAATTGCACGCCTTTGTTGTAACGAGTTGCTTTAATGGAGTGCGACTTACTGGCACTCCCTCGCTCAGACAGATAATATCAGTAATATCACTAGCTCTGCTACGGTCTTTCATATACATCCCTCTGACTGGACAGAGACAAAGGAAAAGTGTTCAATATTAGACGGGGCAGTGAGTCATAAGGGTGTTTCCACTGAATTTGGAAAATCAAAAGAAAAAGCTGTGTGCTCCACATTGCTAATGGATTTCGCAGTACTCCTATCTCTGTGTTTGTATCCCAGAAGCAGTTATAAATGTACTGTACCCCTGACCTCTGACCATGTTTGTAGTATTCGAGTGCTGATGTGTGTTCTGGGAAATGTAGTTCTGAGATCTTGAAACAGGAATGGTGAAAAGGACATGGATTCAAGCATGTCTTATCACGAATTGAATTTTTTTTATCTCTTTTTAATTGCATGGGAAACTCTGCGTGCCATTCTTTTATGTTTGTTTGTCCAGTGAACGGCCTTCGAAGGCTCTTTTACTATAAACACTTTAACTTATATTTAGCTGAAAATAAAGCATTGCATACAGGTTTACCATTGGAATTTAATGGTATACTTAAACAAAAAGGAAGTAGGCTTTTACTTATTAAACTGGTATAGCTGTCTTTTTGTGTTCAGAAATATGTTGGAACATGTATACCTTTGTAAATTGTGTGCATTTTAGGAATTTGGTGGGATAATTCCTGTATGAATTGTAAAGCTGAATGTATACATATTTCACTACAAGCTGCCCTATGTAATAAACTAAATAAAATTCTTTTTTAAATGAATATTTTGGCCCCGAGCTTTGTGTCTGAGTTGTTGACATCTGTAACTTAAAGAGCCAAACGAAGAATAAGTCTTTCTTAGTCATCGCTCTTCAGCTGTCGTTGTTGCCATGTTGGAAATGTCACTGTTAGGTGATGGGTCTTTCACTCAGCACCCTGCACATTCCTCTGTCCTCAGAATACGACTTGTGTTTAAACAGTGTCCGAGGAACCCTCAGACCCCAGACGTGTGATCTATCTAAATCATCTATTTTGGCAGACTTCTCAGGAAACGCCACCGCGGCCATAACTCACTCTACCAGTGCTTTAACTGGGATGTGCATAATTCCTGGGCGATTATGAAAGGGGTCGGGGCTGGCAGCGAGAGCGAGGACTCTTCCCTTGTAGCATATCCCTCATCTCCTGCCGCGGTCCAGGCAGCCGTCTGGAAATATGTCTCAGTCAAACAACAACGGAGGCATACAGTGTAATAATGCCTTCATGTGGTCCAACCCTGTGCTGAGCTGCCGCGCTGCTGTTTCCTCGTGCCTACACTGGAAAAACATCAGCTACTCAGAGGGTTGAGCTGACTGATCCTATATTTTCTGAGAATAATTTACAAAGCTGGTCGATTCACATTCCTCTTACTGCCACATCATGAGAATTTGGATATTGTGTGGTAGCATTCATAAATCCCCCCTTCACTGACCTTTATAAAACTGAACAATGATTCTTATTTGGTACACTGGAAATGTCATTTCATGCAGAATTGCATCCAAAAAAGGGGAAAAAGTTCCCTCCACCCAAGATGACGTCTTCAAATAGCTTGATTTGTCCACCAACACCCTACAATAGAAGGAAATAATCAAATTTGAGAATATGGCACCTGCAAATGGTTGGCATTTTTGCTTGTTAATGATTTAAATGTTTCCGTTTCAGATCAGTTTACAACATTGTTGCAATGCATTGTTAGTTTAGTTATTTTAGTTCACTTTATGACAAAAAAAGTTCTTGACATTAATGGTGTGCCTCCCTTCAAAATATTGCACTCGTCTCATCAGCAAAGTTGAATTAGACATGGTTTCAGAAGAATAACAGAAGAATGGTTCCCAACCTTGGGGTCCCATTCCTGTGGGCAGTTGCAAGAAGTTAACCCAACTAAGTTATAAAAATTCATCCTGTGGGGGAGCATTCAAAAACTATATGTTCCACAAAAGAAGTGTATTTATTTCTTCAGATGTTCCTCTAATGTTAGATTTTTTAAATCCCTGTAATTTACTATTCATTTTTCTTAACATCAGCATACAAACGTGTTCACAATGACAATGTGATGTTGAGTAGGTATGTTTACTGTGTTCACCATCTAAGTTTAGCATATTAGGATGCTAGCATTTGCTAAGTAGCACTAAACACAAAGTACAGATGAGGCTGATGGGTAAAGTATTGGACAAATAAAAAATCTGACCTGATGATGGCGCTACATGAAAATAAAGTTATTACAGTTCATCCCGTGGGGGACATTAATGTCTACACCAAACTCAACAGCAGTCCATCCAGTAGTTGTCAAGACATCTCACTAGGTAGACAACAGTCAGGGGGCTTCGTTCTCTGGGAATAACAAATGTTCAGAATCCTTGCTGTAAATAGTTCTCTCACTCTGAAGCTGCTCTGTATAGTATAGCAACTTCTGATCAAGCTGCATCAAATTCAGGTTAGCCCTACCCACTTTTGGTTTAAGCCACACCCCCAACACATTTAAACCACACACTCAACAAATTGGTAATATATAGGTAATTACGTTCATTGTACAGATAATGTTTTACTCACTCATCCCTGCCCACAAATATATGCAACTAGTGGCAGTAGATATTGCTTCATTTTAGGACGGAATGTTTCACTGATAGTGAAATACTGAGAGTATTCTGGTTCCTAGTACCCCTTGCTGCACAGCCAGAACAACAAACTGCAATGGAGTTAGACTGTTGTGGAGACGGAAGGGAGGACTAAACACCCTTTGGCACATCCAGACGTAGTAACATGCCAAACTCCCCAACTCTGGTGTCCCGCCCCACCTTGTTGCCTCCGAAGCCTGTGAGCAGCTCTGCAGGGGCAGCTCGATGGGCTGCTTTCTGTCTTGCTGTCTGTGTCTGAGCGTTCAGCCAGGCGCTAAGCTAACAGAGCAGATCTGGCTCTCATTAACGCTAGTCTTGTCTCCCTGCTCCTCCTCCGCCTGCCGCAGCGGCGGGCCGTATGGATTAGCGCTCAGACGAGCCCCTCAGGAGAGCAGTCATGCTGTCATGTGTAAAAATGTTACGAGACGTCGGGCATCGTTTCATAAGGTGTTGGGTTCCCAGACGTCACTCACTTTGTCATGCTCATTGCTGGTTCACTATCAGGTAATTGTTTTGCCATGCTGACTTATGAGAGCGAAGAAGAGAGTGAGAGGATGATTGGAAAGATCATCCTCCGCCACAAGCACCTGACTTGTATATTGTAGTGAGGAACTAATATGTTCGCCATAAGCCTCTGTCAGCCCTGTGATAATGAGAAAGTGATAGGGCTGGGTGATGCTGAGAGATGCAGCAGGCTCTCTCGGAGTTCACTTTAACAGAGTTCTTGGACAGGGCCCTCAGGTCTTGGGGTGAACAAACACAATCAAACGTATCTTTCTTTTTACTCCAGACAACCTTCCTTGTTCTGGACAAAAAGACTCGGAGGCACCTGTAGGTCTGCGGACTGTTTCACTGTTTACGTTCTGAGGTGAGGTAGCGGAAAATGTCCCTTTGCTCCCGCTCTCCCTCCTCTAAAGTCAGCCGAAGCCGAGCTCTGGCCTCTCTTGGGTTACCACAAGGAGACTGTGAGGTAATGACCGGCGTGCCCAGAACTGATGGCTGTGTCACTGCAGGTGGAAACACTTTGATTATGTGGAGCCTTGTGTTTACACTGTTGCACCCGTTTGCATTTAGACCCTTTTGACATTTCATCAGGCAACTGGAGCGTCCTGTTTCAGGACCCTGATCTGTTTTGAGCTGTGTGACCTGCTGCAGGCCTCAGCGTCCACTGGGTTACAGAGGAGTCAGCCCACCCCTCCTTCTCTTGACTCACTTTGACAGTCCTTGAACCTTCTTGTGTGGGCCTGGCAGAGTATTTTTATATTAAATAATATTGAAGCTGAGGAGGCTACCTGAATGGTCGTAGTGTTAAATGTGCAGAGTAAAAACATCTTCGGGAGTCCTATCAGGAAATACTATGGATTCTGTCAACACGGAGGCTCACCTACATCCTCAGAAGCAGCAGGCCTGTATGTGTACCCATCAATCACACCAGGCCCCTTTAACTTAATAAGAACAGGCCTCGGGTAAGCAGGAAACCTCTATCCTTGTTTGGTGTGAACCTCTGGCCTCGGATCCATGTAAGTCAATTCAGCTAGTAATAGAGCTGTAATTGAGTTTCCTCATATTTGATACTCTGTCAATCTAATTTAAACCTAAATGATAGTATTGTAACCTGTTCTTGTTATTTTCAAAAACATGGCGCCCTGTGTACATGCCCTAAAGAAAGCAGGAGAGAAAGACTCACCCTCAGAAAGAAAACTCCTCGCGCCGCGGGGGTTGCTTTCATCCCGGCCTCGGGTTACTGTGGCAATAAGCACGAGGGCCAAAGACAGACCGGCAGCGGGGGGGGGACTGCAAACTGTAGAAACAAAACAAAAAATGGAAGGATGAGTAACATCATTCATCATCCTACGACCCATAATTCCCCTTGTTCACGGTGCTCCTGTCCCGTGTGGCATATCTGTGGCCATACACCGCCTCCCCTTCTCAGATTCTGTGGTCGTGTCGTCATTAAGTGTCAGGACGCCTGGCCGGATCTCACTCGCGCTACCGCTACAACATGGAAGCAAATAACCATGTACTCAGGCTTCTATAATAAACTAATCACTTTGTATCAACACGGGCTGGGTGTAAGCTTTCCACATGCCTCAAACATTTTCATGGACTGGATGCATGCTTCCACTGCAGTGCTTGGCTCCCAGCGAAAAAAAAATCTACATTAATAAACTCCCCTTTTGGGTGAGATGATTGGCATGTATAGAAACAAATTCATTATTTTGTATAAATAATCTGGCCCCTGTGTTGTAATTGTACTGCTTATTATTCTTTGCCAAGCTGATCTCGATTTTGGGGTTGGACCAGAGAATTTGTTGTAAACCACCAAGACTAAAGACCCCAATTTCACTCACTTTGAAGAGACAAGGAGGTCTGGAAGGCCCTGGAAGATCCGCTGTTTCTTCATCAGAGCTGTTTTTATTCCACCGGTCCAGACCACAGCCAGGCAGAGTTCAGGGACAGAGTTCAGAGGCTGAACTTTTTGACACTTTCTTCAGGTCTTGCAGGGTCTTGTAGCTCAAGGCCTTAACCTTATTACAGGTCCACGTCACCGTGTTTTTTTTCCTGACCATTTGCAGTCGTTTGTGCCTTGGATGAAACCCGAGTTTAGGTTTATTACTGCAAACCACAGGAAGCTCAGGCTCTTTCACTGCGTAGTGGACAATTGAATTTGAAAACACAAAGCCAACCTCTACCTCTCCCACCCTCCTACCAGCAAGCTAAAGTCAAATAAAGCTCTCTCCGAGGAAATCATACCCAGGTCACACAAACACAAGATACTTCACATGTACGCAGGTTTCATTTAATTCAGACTGTGTGTATCCACTATCCACTTTGTCGCAGGATTTCCTTTCAATCAGATAATGTAGAATAACAAAGGCGTGACAAGTGTTTTGTAATCACATAGCTTGCAAGAGACATTTTGTGGGGTTCAAGCACAGGTACTTCTGTCTGTCTAGTATCCTGAAAGATGACATTGTTTGATCTCTGGTTACTGAAAGCTATGTAGAGATCAGGAAATGAGGAAGCAGATCTTTTTCTCAGGATTGTCCTAGTCAGCATGGCCAGAAGTACACAGCAGTTTAATCTTTGTTGTCATGTGCTGAATAGGTGAAAAATGGCCATATTACAAAG